ACATTTATCATATACACCATAACGGTAAAAAAATCTAAATATTTCAGAAGCCTTATTTTTAAATTTGCTAATGATGTAATTGGATATTACTTATGTATTTTTAATGTATTTAATAGTTTATAGCTATAGCATAACATACAAACTTACAAATAAATAAAAACAAGTTCTAGAAAGTTCCATAAAGTTCTAGAAGACACCAGAAAGTAATAGTACTACTATACTTATACAAGATTTTAAAAATTTCATGTTGGAGTTGACATTTTTTTTTTTTTTTAAATAAACTGAATTCGCGCTAGGAAGTTTTTTCCCCTGAGTCGATCCTCCAGCTATACAAATCGCCCTTTCATGGAGTATTGCTGCCATATATGGTCTGGCGCCCCTTCTGTTTGCCTCGGGGTTCTTGATAGGCTCCAGAGGCGGATATGCAATATGGTTGACCCTGCCCTGGTGTCTCGTCTACAGTCACTTTCTCACAGACGCGCCGTCGCCTCTCTCTGTCTGTTCTACAAATACTTTCATGAAAATTGCTCCGAGGAGCTGCATTCGCTGGTTCCCAGACGTCATGAGTTCCAGCACTCTACGAGGCTGGCATCCCGCCTCACCCCTCACTGCCGAAAACTCCTAAATGTAGCCGTCTCTTCTACTCTAATAGCTTCATGTCTTGCACCTCTCGCCTGTGGAACTCCCTTCCCTTCTCCTGTTTCCCTGCGAGCTATAATCTCCAGCTATTCAAGTGTAATGTCAATCGACAACTCCAGTTGCCTTGATCTATCCACTACCCTCATCCTTTCTTCTATCACTCCTATCTGATCTTGCTATTTCCTGTAACCCCTTGCATCCTAGTGGCTTCCTGCCTTGCTTGGGGTGAAACACTTAAAAAAATAAAAATAAAAAAAAAAATACACACATATTTCTATTTTTTTTCTTCATGCATTCTGATTTTATTCTGTTATGGTAACGAGCTATTACTTGACATCACTTAAAGCAAATATGCTTAGTGTTACTATGACAACAGAATATTTCATTACTAAGACCAGGTTGCTAATACACTGATTTTGTTTGTGTTGTTTTAGTTTTCTTTGGGCATGTTAGTTTTAATGACTGAACAAGCTGAATTCTTTTGTCATGATGATTACTTCTCAGCAGAAAATTGTAATCAAAGGAAGCAGATTATGAACTGTTTGCTGTTAAATGGAATCTTAGGTTGTGAACTAACATTTGACAATAGTATTGATAGTTAAATAATAATCCATATATATATATAAAATACAATTTCTATACATTTCTATACATATATACATTGTATAGACACATATATACTTTATGGAGACATAGTGGAGTAATGGATAGCAGCTTGGATTGAGGAATTGGAGAGCCAAGTTCAAATTCCAGTCAAATCCATTACATTCATTTACGTGCTAATACCCTCGAGAAAGGTATGAATCCTTCCACATAAGCTATTGGTAAATAGCAGGACAGACCTGGTTCTGTAGCCCCGGATGGCAACTGGTCTACCACAGGAAGAAATGGCAACCTATTACAGGGAAAAAATCTGCCTCGTCAGTCATGTATTGAAAGATACATGATCACCTAAGCATGCATCACACATGGCACATAACTGACTGATAGTGTTTATATATTTTTGTGTATGTTAACACAGATTTTAATCATTATTCTTTTGGTAGCAAAAATAATTATTCATTGGGAAATAAAATATTATTTGTTTAATTCAAAGTATTTTCCATAAATATGAAAAATGCAAGAAAATTTCTGATATTTTATAAGTATAATGTCAATTTAAAAAATACTTTACTATTACAGACTTTTTTTTTTTTTTTTTTTTTTTTTTTTGATGGTATGAATACATGTTTTCAGAAATCTGTAGATATTGTGAAGAGCCTTAGGCCACAACATGCTAAGTGGCAGATTTTTACAGGCTAGCCTTTCTAGACCTACACCAAACTGTTTTGAATTCAGATTTATCTTTCTTTTAGACTGGTTGCCAATCAAGGCTCTATTCATATCTTTCCTAAGGGCTTTAGTGCAAAATGAACACAACAAAATCAACCAGAGTTTGAACACTGGCTCACCAATTCCATTTTCCACACACTCATAACCATTATGCTACTTACATATACATAAAATGGTCTTTATAAAATGAGAAAGAATTAAAACCATTGAAAACAGTTACTTGGAATATAAAAGTTTTAATTTTAATGAAAAAATCATCTACATTATCAGAAATCATTTGTTGAACAACAGGAAAAAAAAATTGAATGAATCAAAACTTTACCAAAAAGTATAAGGTTGTACACTAAATTGTTTTTGTCTTTGTTTTTTGTTACCCCAGGGAAGCACAAAAATAATCTATTAGGAGGTGGGAGGAAACTCACACTCCTCAATAAGATTTAAGATGACAATGTCATCTTCAGAAAATTACCATCAACAGACATGACCTTTAAGGCCTTATATGGAAAAGAGAAAACTTGATGTCAGTATGTGCCAGACCAAAAATTTAGTTAATACATTTGAATGATAACATTGTTCTGAATTAATATTCATAAGGTCTCTATACAAATTTTATCTGTATTAATATTCATAAATTCATTATGCAAAATTCTTTTAAAAATATGGAAATCTTGTCTCTAAAAAATGGAATAAAATTTCAATGCATATACAACTTTTCACCAGCTGAATAAATTTTTTTTTACCTGTTTTTTTTTTTTTTTTTTTTTTTTTCCAAAAATGTCTTTAGTGTCTGTCTTTCTCTTCCTGTTTAACTGAAGAAGCTTTAACATTTTTACTACACTCCCTTTCATACTTTTCTATACAAAATAAGCTTTCTTTATTTTTCTATATATTAACAAGCATTTTTATTTTCAAGTAGTCTGATCAGATTTTGCAAAGAATTCTTGTCTATTTTATATTATAAGGATTTATTTTTTTGTTTATGAATGTTTTTTATTACCATAACACAGCAGAAATGGCACACTGAAGCAAGATTTTTGTTAGGGCAATATAGTTAAAAGGCTTTGAAGAATAAAGCAATTTCCATTTCTCTGAATTTTATTTGTGTGGTTGTTACAAAAGCTGGAAAAGAAATGATATCAACATTGGAAAAGAAAAAAGAACATTACTAATTGCTAAAAAAAATACCAATAACTTTATTTCATAAAAAAACAATATTGTTTTAATATAGAAATAATTCTTCTTTTATATAGAAATAATATTTAACTTCTAATTGCAAAACATTTCTATTTATGTAAATTTTCCATTCTATAATCTAAAATACTAAGTGACTATTGATCATGCAGCTGGATCTTGCAAGGTTACTAATAAGGAAAAACAGGAATCCAGTAAGTAAAGACAATTTGTGTTATTATAACAATGCAATACCTCATTAGTAAGCAGTGAGATATTACATTGTTATGGTAACACAAAGCATATCTACTTATTGTTGCCCCCAGCTTATTAGGACCATCCTATTTATGTTGAAGAAGAGGAAAAAAAGACACTAAATCAAAACTTTTTTTTTTTTTTTTTTTTCTACTCCAGAGAGACACAAGAATAATCAATCAGGGGATGGGGGGAAAAAAAACTCCCCTCTCCCATAAGCTTTCAGATAACAATGTATAAAATAAACATTTTTAACTCTTTAAATGATTATCTGACACCATCTTTTATTAAGGAATTGACCAGAGTCAGGATTATTGAGTCAATGTCTTAGCTGCATAGTGTGTACTTCACCGTGGCTAAATCCAGTTTTGAATTCAGAGTTTTCCTTCTCCCAGACTGGTTGCCACCCAAGGCTATAGAACAGTCTGTCCTTCTATTTACCCATAACTGGAGAAAGAAGAGGTCGATTCATACCTTGCTCAAGAATATTAGCACGTACATGAATGTAATGAACTTGACTGTAATTTGAACTTGGTTTTCCGATTTCTCAATCCAAGCCACAATCCATTACTAGGCACAGTGGTGTAAGGGAGACACCTTTTATTAAGATCCCCCCATTTACTGTATCTTGAAAAAAATATCCCCCATAAGTATTAAGAATCCCCCTTGTATTAGGTACCTAACCATAGATTACGCATACAGAAAAATATAATATGCAAAATTACTTGAATTTTTTACTCATAAGTTTTGTACATAGGAAGTGATCTGGCATTGACCTTAACTTTTAATAGCTTTTAAGCAATTGGAATATTTAATATCCAAAATCTATATGACACCTATATCCACATCTCCTACTGGGAGCACAAAACAAATGTCTATGTACCAAGTAAGGTCAAAAGTCTTGTGGGCTGACAGGAATCTCTTCGCCACTATTAAGCATCTGAGGCGAATAAAGAAAACAGCAACCAGCGAGTAAATTCAAGCTCTCCCAGCTGGTATTTCAACCTTGAGTCATTCCTTCTTGAGTTCTGTCTCAAAATCACACTAACAGACTGTTCTTGCCGCCAACTGTGAACGTCACTCAAAGAACTGCCCCACTGGGGAAAAAAGTAGTTGCTTTTATATTTGTCCATATACCCATAATCCCTTGCGTCTTCATGTGATCCCATAGTTCATTGCGTCCATGTCCCATAATGCATTGCATCTTTATTGCATAAAAATGCAATGCAAGTCCCCCCTCATTCTTTTACGTTATCTGGCCGAGGACGGATTGCGGCAGAGCGGTAAGTGCTTTTTTTCTCCCTCATTTCAACTGCAGTAGCTTTACATGCTAAGCAAATACGGGCTCTTTTTTGGTGGGGACAAGGCAAGTCGCGACCAATTGTGCTCGTCCCAGGTTCTGTCTCATGTCCGCCACAGCATCAGATGATGATATGGCTTAGCTACTTTACATGGTATAACAGCCTCTGCAAGACCTCATGCAAAGCCTTGTTGAAGGCAGGTGCAAGCAGGGACAGGAATGCAAGAGCTGGTCAGTATGGATAGATATGAAAATGCCAGAACAACTTCTAAGAACCACCACCACCAACAGATCATCCTGGAGCATGTTGTTTGCTTCTTCTGCTCTTTGTTCCAATCATCAGGGAGGGACCTGTCAAGAGGCTGATGTGGATGATATGACAAACTGTGAATATAAAAAATCCTGAACAGAAAACTTACAGGAATAATCTCATGTTTAAGGTTTTAACACAATGTTTCTCTCTTAATATTAAGATATTTGGTCTTTAAGGAATTCAGTTCAGAATAAAAATGTATTCCTGTATAATATATAATTAATCAATTACTGAACATTTAAATTTGATTTGTCAATTTTGTTGTATACTAATTAAATCTATTGTTTAGATCATCGATTTATAAAGAAGTTCCTGAATGTAAGAATATTGAAATATGAAAATTTTAAATTCACAATTTAAAAATTTTTTTTCCCCACCCCATTTATTTCATTGTTATTCAAATAAAACTAATTACAAAAGGCCCTAAATTATCAATCTCAGGTGCTCATCTCATAGTCACTGTCCTGAAATATTTCCCAATTTGCAATCTTTGTTAATCTTTAAAACTAATTCTTTCTAAGTTCTATTACAAAGGTATTAACATCTTAGCTGAAAGGGATTTTTTTGTCTATCAAGCTAATTAGTATAAATTAGTATAAGTAGTCAATATTTTGGTATGAAATAAATTTGTTACAAAAGAAAATTGTTTACTCTATATTTTATTCAAAATACTTGTTCTCCTATAACTTAAATAGCTTGTAGAATCATTTGAGATATAGAATAATAATAATAATTATTATTATTGTTATTATTATTATATGCTTTTCTGTTCAGGTAACCATACTCATCTTGCAATATTTAAAATCAAAATGAAATTAACCTACTTTTTAGTAAAGAAAAACAAAATCTTATATAAAAGTATGAATATAAAATTTCCAGTCTTCTATATTTTAAAGAAGTGGTGCCCAAAATTTTCGGAATATATCAATCGACCTTTTCATTGAATCCTTGATCACTCATCAACCCCCAGGCATGTACAAAAAATATCAATAATAATTATTTTTATTAGTTTTTTTCTTATCATTGTTTGATTAGATTTATTTTAGCTTTTGTTATTCCTTTTTCAATTTCTATTTATTTTTCTAAACTAGGCATGTTTATTCAGATGATAATAATAATAATAATAATAATGTGAAAATCTTTATAAATAATATAGATAATACTAAGCATAAAATAAATTAATATACCTTTTTATTGAATTGGTTGAGGTTTATGAGAAGGATGCATTTAATAAGGAGTAGCAAGAGTATTTTTTACTCAGAAGTTGCCACAGTTTATTTATCAAACCCCTGGATAATCCTATTAACCTTCAGGGTTTATCAACCATTTTGAGAAGTCCTGTTCTAAAAGAATAATAGTAATTAGGTAGATATGTTTTATATGCAAAAAATGTGCCTCTACATTTGCAAAATAGGTCTTAACATTTTTTGCCCAGTCAACTTTTTCACCAGAAATCAGAATGTCATTCTCCCCACCCCTTTTCCAAGATTGTCCAACTCAAAAGGTGCATTCTAAATAATATGCACATATTATTAAAAATCTTAATTCTGTTCCATATTAGTACATAACCATTTATACAGATTATTTTTATAGAGAAGTTTTACAAATTTAATAGCAATAACTCCATGTACAGCAATGGTGTAACTAGAGTGTATGCCACCTAGGGCAGCCCTTGAGTTTGTCACTCTCTCTCCTTCTTGCCTCCCCACAATTACAACATATATCACAGTGACTCCCTCTTTTGTGTGTGTGTGTGTGTGTGTGTGTATATATATATATATATATATATATAATATAAACAAAAAGAGACAAGAGGAAAAACTATGCTTAACTGATGTGTTTCATCCTGTGAGGGACTTTATCAAGGCAATGCCCACACACACACACACATGCCCTCTAGCTACACTACTGATGTACAGTAATTCATAACTACTTATTAAATGAATAAACTGAAGCATACTTCAATAAACAAAAAATTCAGTAGTATTGTAATTCAATAGACAATTTATCTATATATAAAATTCTGTAACTTCTGCTAGTGCATCCATCTCTCACACCCTCTAAAATAGTCCTACATTGACCAATCAGAACCAAATTTTGGGAAGATGTGCAAACAGGTAAGGGGGTACCAAGTACAATTGGTTTTACTATTATAATAAATTTTCATTAACTTTTTGGGAAAAATTAAAATCTTTTCATTGAACAAAACATAGTGTTTGTAAATCTCAACAAAAAACGTTAGCAATAGCTTCAACATTACTAAATACCGTGAGGATTTTAAATAAATTCTAGTTCAACAAAAGATCAAGGTATTTAAATTGATTTTATTCTGATAAAGATTAGTCAATGAAAAACTTGTAATTTTTTTTCTTACTCAAGTAAGAGCAATGTTATCTCTACTGAAACCGTCTCTGAAATTCCTCCTGAGAACTATGTATAAAAGAGATAAGCAAACATTATAGTCACCAAAGGTCTTAATTATTGAATAACCACTCTACTTGAAGCTATTCTTTGTTAGTTTACAGCTGTTTTATTGTTTGTTTATATTCTATATTACTTTAAATTATTTAAGCCAACCTAGATGTAATAAAGTAACTGTATCTCCTTATGTTGTGACATAACTTGAATAGAAATGCTTTATAAATAAGAGTTGATTTGTTGTGCAAAGCAACAACTCTGTTCAATATTTGAAATAAGATTAAAGTTTGGAGTATTTATTTTACACAAACAAGTTTGTGTAAATGTATATTGACAAAAATAGTATGACAAATTGTAAAGTTTTTATGACACATTTCATGTTAGGATTTCATTGGACTGGGCTTTGTTGATGTTGCCACATCTATACATGTGCACAAAATGAGAGATGCTGGTAGTTTGAAAATTTTTGAAAGAATTTATTTTTTTTTTGTTTGGAAAGAGTATTTTTTCAATCTAGCCAAATTCATCTTTTTTCTTTTTCTTTCCATCATCTTTGTCCCTGACTATCCTACATTGTGACAACAGAAAATTTACCAAGAATGGTGATATATTGTAAGAGCCTGAATGTAAATTTACCATGGCTGAACTAGCGATCAAGACACTTTTCAGACATTTTCATCTTAGTGGATTATTTTCTCTTTTAATCAAAGTAACATTCCCTATGTCAAAATTGTGGTCAGTTTCATTACAGTGAATGACCAATGCATTTTGTGTGGTGTTTTTTAAAATGTCACTTTTGTATTCATATAGGCTTTTGTTTAAACCCCTTGAGGTTTGTCCAATGTATTAATTCTAGCAATTCCTGGACTTGATAGAGTAAATTCCATCTTCAAGTTTTGGCTTGTTGCTTTTTTTTTTTTTTTTTTATTGATTAAGTCTTTGATTGTTTTAGATGTAGTTGTGAGAAATTTTATATTGAGTTTAGATCAATTCTTTTTGGTTGTAGTTGTGATAGAGTTAGTGGGTAGAATAATATATTTTCTTGCATCGTTGGGTTTGTCAGGAAGGAGAGCTCTACTATTTTGGAATATTTTATGAGCCTTTTGTTTCACATTGAATATGAAATAGGGTATTGTAAATGTTTTCCCAATTTGTCATACTATTTTTCTAAATACTTTTTTTTTATATATAAAATTATACAAAATCATATATCGTTATATCATAACTGTATATACAGATTGTTAATAATTATTTCAATCTTATGTGGCTTTCCATTTTCAAAATGTTATGTCTTGTGACCAACTACAGATTTTCTTTTTCTTTCAGTTATCAAGATAGAACATGCTGCAGTCCGGTCACTCTGTACTGGTAAGTGATGCCCTTAATTCTCATTTTCTCCCAGCCACACCAATCCACCCTTTTTATACACTCATCTGTCTGGTAATTGGACTGGATACCCACTTTCACCCTGTCTCATTCAGAGACATTTGACATTATCCAATAGCAGATACTCCTCAAATACTTTCTCACCTTTGTACTTTTCTACCTGCATTTTTATTTTGAACTTTGAAAAGGAAAGAAAATTCCTTACCAGTAGCACATCATTTCTCAGAAAATATTTACATACATGTAAACATTGATCTATGCATGATTATACACAATCATATAGACATACATGTACGTATAAGCACTTTTACACATAAACATTTTAATTTGTGAACATTGGCATCACTCACAATTCTTTTCTTGATATATTTGCTTCACACTTGCAATGGTACTGCAAAATACTATTCACTTTTTGACTTGTGAAAAAGTTATCATAGTTCTTGTTGATTTGGTACAATAACTTTTCTTGTTTTCAGGCACATTCTTTCATTTATATAAGGTTGTGCTGAAAAATTCTCAGCCTAAACAAGAACTCTACAAAGAAAAAATTCTTATATTTGGTCAGATATAGGGAAATGAGTGAGATGCCTCCTTCTGGCATGCACAAGGATGACATATTTTCTTTCAAGTTCTCTGGATGCAACCGCTTTGCAAAGACTGTAAACCAGGATGCTTGCAGGGGACAGATCACTGATTTTATATATAAAATTTTATATATACACACACACACACACACACACACACACACATGTGTAATAAAAAGAAAGAACAGTAAGATATATAATCTGGTGTTCTTATTGATATTTTTACAAAACAGTCCTCAATGTAATTTTATTATAAATTAACTGATTTAAAATATGGTTTATTATTCCAAAATTTGCTTGAAGATGAAACAAAACTAATGCTTTTTATTTAATTATATAATTAAATTTGAAGTTTTTAGCTTTGGTTTTTGAAACATGGTAATTCCTGTGTAGTGAAGAAACCATATTTTAAATCACTTAATTATTATATATATATATATATATATATATATATATATATATATATATATATATATATATATATATATATATATATGATAATAATAATAATAAGTAAAGACAATCCTTAAAAATGCATTTCAGTTATAATTTATTTCATGAATAAATTCATCTCTCCAGACCAATGGTATTTTTAGAAATGAAATCAATTTGTCCAGACAAAAGGAAAAGAGAGAGAGGTGGAGAGGAAAAATAAAAATTTCTAATAAAAAAGGAAGAAAGAAAAATAAAAATTTATATATAAAATTTAAAAAAAAATTTATGGAAGAAAGAAAGAGATGGGGAGGGAAAGAAAAGAAAGAAGGAAGAGTTAAAGATGAGTCAATAGGTTGACCAAGAAATAAATTTTCCCTTAAAGGGCTGAAGAAGTTAATATACTGGGCAAGAGAGAGAGAGGGTGATCAGAATTAAGAGATACAGTAATATGTCTAATATTCATGTCATTTCAGACAGCAAACAATTATCATCTCATAATAATAATCACTATTTCAAATTAATGAAAATAATAATAATAATAATAACCAACATCAATAAATTAAATAAAATAAAAAATTGAATAATGTAAAAAATAAAAAATAAATAAATGAAGCGATAAAGAAAAAATTTAAAGAACAACATAAAAAAATATAGATAGGAATAAAAATAATAAAGATAATACTATCACTAATATTAATATAAAAATAATATTAATTAATAATTTAAAACTATAAATGATGTAGGCAAGACAATCACAAGACCATATACAAAAATGTGAATATATAAATGTTAGTACCCATATAAAACAGAATCAACACTTCAAGTGTATAACTCCCAAAGTCAATGTTTTTAGAGAATTTTAAATCTGTTCTTGTCTATACACTTGAAGATAAGTCATTTTTTTGATTCAATAATTGGTCAGCATTTTTATATTTAATCACTATAACAATATATATATATATATTTTCACTTGCCAAAAAAGCCAACACCCCCACTTAATTAAATTCTCATTCTCTCACCAACTTAAAATATATAATACTATTTGGCTTATAAATAGAGTAAATCATGTTTTTAAGGTTATTCTGGATTGCTTAAAAATGAAACTGAACTTTAAATTTTAAGTTTAATTTAGGATTTAGTTTTGAAACATGGTAATTTCTGTGTCGCAATGAATATATATTTTTTTTTAAATAATTATAATATTATACCCTACTGTGTATTGAGCAACGTTTTTAAAAATAAATGTAACTATGGATTATAAATCTGGCAGTTCTTTCTTTTTATTTTGATGTGTGTGTGTGTGTATATATATATATATATATATATATATATATATAATCTTATATATAAAGCACAGTGTGTTTGTGCATGTATATGTCCATGCAACTACTCTGCTCACACTGGTCTGATTTCAATGATTCATAGTTCATTCAAAAGCCCTAGAAAAGGGAATGCTTTTCCTTTAGCTCAGATTCAGGGTTGCCAGATTATGTGAGGTTAAAAATATATATTAATATATTATACTGGCCATTATCGTTGTGTTCATGGTTCAAGGGGAGTAACTCTTATTTTCCTCTTGTATCAAAAATTCCAGCTAGCTTAAATGCCGCTAGATAGGGCGGCTTTTAAGCTAGCTCCTATGGAGGACTCTTGGTTTGGCCATCATCAGAATAGCTAGGGAGGAGTAGATGCAATAGGCATCAATAAACTACAGAAGAACTCAAAATTGATCGCTGCATTTAAGTATTGAATTAATGTTTAAGCTTACCTTTTAAAAGTTCAACAATAATTCTTCTGCTGCCACTTAATTTAAGGCGATTTAATGTATGTAGATCCTTATTTTCCATACAAACATTATTTTTTTATTTCATGGGTGACAGAACAGGGGACAATTTATAAGATAAAATTAATATAGTGTAAAGATGGGAAAATAGAAATTAGAATTAGTTATACATTTGAAGAATTAGAGAAAACATAATAGCCAATTAGGTAAAACCTATATTATGGAATCTATATGAATAGCTGCGAAATTGGAGATCAATTCTTCCATGAATTCTGTGATTAAAAGGCCCCAGCTCTACTTTATAGTAATTTGTTATTTACTCGACCCCTACCCCTACCAAACTTGTGTTATGACACAAGGTCAGTTTAATGTGGGGAGCTCAAGCACATACACCCAGACTAGGAACAAAAATTTCCAGGGCCCCCGCAACTGTCAGTTGAGCTGGCCCCAGTGCAAGCACTGTTCCCACTCTCTAGTGAAGTGAGAGGATGCGGCCTTGGGCAACTGTTCCCAGGGCTGGGCACCTCTCAGCATAATTTTCCTCGGTTGCAACTCTGTCCTTCAATGGAGCTAACCCTGACTGCACTCTGCCTAAAAACAGATGCAACTGAGAGATGATAAATAAATGTTACAAACTACTTTGTAATTTGGTATTTAGCCCCTGACCCTCACAACGAAGTTGACGTTGAAAACTTATTTATGAATGTCCCTGTTGATCAAACCATTGACATTATCCTCAATTCTGTGTATATTAATAATTCTATCCCTCCGCCATCCATCAAACCATTTATACTCAAAAAATTACGAAACACATACACAACCAAAAACCCATTCTATGACCATAATGGCAATATTTACACCTAAACTAATGGTGTTAGCATGGGAAATCCACTCGGCCCATGCTTTTCCAATTATTAAATGTCCCATGTAGAAAATATGTTATTTAACTATATGTCCACTATGTAGATGATATTTTTATTTTAGCAAATAGCACTATAGAAATAGATACACTTAAGACCACATTTGAAAAAAAACTGTCTTTAACTTTACCTACAAACTTAGTCAAAAAAAATAAGCAACCATTAAAAATTAAAAAGAAAATTATTAAAAAAATAAATACACTTAGATGTTCTCATAGAATATAGTAACAACACTTTTACTCCCTCACTGTATAAAACCCCCACTAGCAAAAACTGTTGCCACCTTAATTTAAAAGTGAATGCCCACTCAGATACAAAATATCAGTGATAAAAAAACTTCCTAAAAAGAGCACACCAGAATTCATCCTCTTGATTACTCTTCCTTAAAGAACTCAATAATGTAAAACAGACACTAATTAACAATGGCTTCCCTAATCACCTTATAGACCACCAAATTAGACTATTTCCCTGCAAAGTAAATAATTATAGTGAACATACAATCAAAAATAACAAATATTTTCTACAAAAACCAAATGCACATTAACTACAAACAAGTTGAATCTTCACTGAGAAATATTATAAAGAAATACACTACTCCAATTGATCTGAATAAAAAAAATCAAATTAATTATCTACTACAAAAAATTAAAAAAAACTAACCTTATTCTCAAAAATAACGCACCAGCAAAGTCAAAATTACAATGAACGAATAATATCTATGAGTTCAAATGACCCTTAAGGAACTGCGTTCCTGATCAAACCAAATTCATAAATAATTACATTGGTCACACAACTACATGCCTATCCAGACACCTTACATTACACCTATCTGACCACAGCTCTGTTAGAACACATTTAAACACACACCAACTTACCAGACTCCATTCAAAACATACTCATCTACATGTAAAAAAAGGATTAAAATAATAGAAGCCCTAATAATAAAAATGAATAAGCCAACACTTAATAATATTAACTACGAACACAGCCACAATGTGCTAATTGTGTTCAGAAAATAAAACGACTCTATAACACTAAAAATATGCACACAATGCACACACCCAATTACATTGAAAAAATAAAATCATCCTTGATAATGGCTAAAAGTATAGCTGAAAATGCTCAGAATTATTGAACCTTTGGGTAGTTTCTACATACTCTGTGTTCAAAAAAGAAAACACTTGTTCAAACCCAAGAAAACACACACACACACACACACATATATATATATATATATATATATATATATATATATAAGGT